CGGCATCTCGTCTGTCCCGGGCGCCCAGCTCTCCCACCCACGCAGGGTCAGTCGGGCGAGGTCCCGGCTCGGCGTGGGCGGCGTGTCATGGGTCTGCCCCTTGGCCTGTGTGAATGCCGGTCGTCCATGCACCGCCCGCTCCAGCTGCTGCTGCTCCCCGAGCCAGCTGCACAGCTTGTTCCTCGGCCTGGAGACGCTTTCTTGGGGTTTCTGTGGTCAGCACGGAGAAGGCTCTTGAGGGGACCCTGCCAGCCCTGCGCCTCCCCAGCGCCATCCTGCACGCTCAGCCCCGCCCGCGGCCGGCACTATCCACCCCACGCCCTGCCAGGCCAGAAGCGGCTTTGGAGCAAGGGTCCCGTGTCACCGAGGCTGCTGTCTGCTGCAAGCAATGCTTCCCAGCCCGAACGGGCCAGAGACGTTCGGGGGCGGGAGGAACCCCGCGTCCACCAGGGACAAGGGACAAGCAGGCGTGAGCCCCCCACACGGGAGCACAATCCGGCTCAGGGCGGGAACGGACACCGCCACAGTCGCACCAGCCTCGGGGATGTCGGCTCACAGCGGGACGGGTGCCGTGGGGCCACACGTAGCAGGGTGACCAGAGGCAGCGAGGTCCCAGGGCACGGGGGAGGGGAGGGGCCTGATCAAGGGGGACAGGCCTCGGTTTTGCAAGATGACAGGCGTCCTGGAGGTGGACGCTGGTGACGCAGCACAGCAGTGACTGTGGACTTAACACCACTGACCTGTGCACTCAGAAAAGATGGTGACGCTTGTTTCGTGCATTTCACCAGTTAAAAAAGAGGACATTTAAGTGAGTGCAGAGGGTGGCTCTGGCCTCGGGTTTGGTGTCGCGAGCACCCCCAGACCCTGGGCGCCCCCAGACACGGCACCCTCAGGACCCCCAGCCCCGACGCCCAGCCCACCTCACAGGCTGCAGGGAGAAGCGTGTTTCCCAGGGGTTCACGCCGAACACCCTCTGACAGGCTGAAGGCTCGTTAGTTACTCGGTGACGCTGGCCGAACTCTGCCCGTGGGGTAGGGACGGCTGCCTCCGCGTCCTCCCGCACCCCGTCTGTCCTCACTGGTGCTCCCTGTACCCCCCGTGCGGGCAGTGGGCTTCCCCCCCATGAGCGGCTTCGTCTGCGTTTTCCGGTTCTCATGAGGCTGGGTAGAAGGAACGGGGGTCGGTCCATCTCCGGCACGAGCCCCACAGTAGGGTCGCCAACCGCTGACGGCCCCTGCGTAGAGGCGCTGGGCACGCCTAGCCCCGCAGGGGAGCGGGGTGTCCGCGCTCCCAGGACAGGAGCCCTTCGCGCCCGTGCGAGCTTTCCTGCCGCTTCTGGAAAACCGCGGCCCGACGCCGGTGAGCACTCCCGTGTCGCGTGGAGCGCGTCCGTGTCGCGTGCCCGTCGCATGCGCTGCACGGCCGGACCTGCGAGAGGAGAGCAGAGCTCGGCCGGGGCCCCGCGTGGACACGCGTCGGCCCTTCGTCCTGCCCTCCGCGTCTGGGGAGTGGCCGTGCGGCCGGACACGCAGGGTTTCGATTTCCGTCACCAGCACGTAGACGGGCATGTGCCTCCCCAGGCTCCGAGGGTTCTCGCTCAGTAATTCTCGCTCTGCCTGGCTGCCGGCCCATCTCTCCTCTGCTTTCCAGCAGTCGGTTAAAAGGCCCGTTGTTCATAGACAAATAACAGAAGGATTACGAGGGCTCCCTTCCAAGAAAGGAGAAAGGACAAAAAGACCACTAGCAAGCCTCCCGCACCGAGTCCTGCCTTTTTAAAATAATACTTTTAATTTAGAGCGAATCCAGCAGGAAAAAGACTATTTCGTCTGTGGAACATTTGCTGTAAACCCCAGGGTAACTGTAAAACAAACCGGGAGACGGAGCAGATGGCTGCGGAAAACCCAGCTCGGCAGGGGGGGCAGGGACCAGAAGCCACGGAGGCGGGTGCCCACGCGGACTCCAACCCCGACGGGCGTCTGTGCACGGGGGACCCGAGGTGGTCCCAGAGGCTGGGACTGTGTCCAGTGGCCCCAGTGATAGGTGATGGATGGGTGGCTGGGTGAGTGGATGATGGATGGTAGATGGGTAGATAGATGATAGATGTAGTTAGATGAAGATGTAGATGTAAAGATGATTAGATAGGTAGATAGATAAATAGATACATAGATAGATCAGATAGATAGATAGACAGATAGATGATAGATATGTTAGATAATAGATACATAGATAGATGATAGATAGATGCTAGATGGCTAGATAGATACATAGATACATAGATACATAGATAGATGTGGGAAGCGAAATGATAGATGATAGACAAATTGATAGAGACCCTTCTTAAAGTTTTGTGAATATGCCTGTGCACTGTGGGTCAAAGGTCGATGCTGACTTTTTAGGTAAATAACAAAATTCACGTTTCTTCATCTGTCTAGGCAAATGCGATCCTGATCCCAAATTTATTTTACTTTTAACCCAAAGCCATATGACGAACTTAATGGTAACTTATCATTATTCACTGTAATTGAACTACGAGGGACTAATTTTTATTCCTTTGAAGACTTTTTTGTCTCCAGGAAGACGGGGTGGGGGGGGGTTGTCCTGTCACGCACCCCGACTTGTTCGTGGGTGTGTTTGCTGCATTCAGGGCCCAGCCGTGCCAGGCTACGCCGCCATGCTGGGGCCCCCCACGTGCGGACCGCAGGCCCCCGGCCCAGCAGGCTTTGGAGCCAGTGAGCGGGGTCCTGCTTCTTCCTGTTCACTTACGTGCAGTGTAAACAGACAGTGGACAGCGGACCAGATGTCATCCGGCTTCCCACAGAGCCTCCAACAAGGGATAAAAATAGGCCCGTGACCCCTCGTTCGGGGAAAGGAAGTGCAGGAAGGAGAGAGGGGTCCAGCCCGCCGGCCGGAGGGACAGGGCGCCCTCTTCGCTGCCCAGGCCTGCAGCTGGCACGGCGGGGAGTGCGGGTCGGGTTTGCACACACTCGGCGCTGTGCGGTGCAGGGCGAACGTAGGCCAGGCGGCAAGGAGGGGCGGGGACGCGGCCACCGGGGCCCGGGTCATGGGAGCCCTGCGTAGGCTCTGTCCCCAGCACTGTGGACGCCCATCCCTGTGGGGACAAAGCCAGGAGGACGTCTGGCTACCCCAGTCCCTG